AAGGTTTGAATTATCAGAAGGCTTAAAATTGTGTGTGTTCAATAATCTTCCATCCACAACAATTAATACAAGACAGAGAATAATGATTCATAAACATAACGTATTGTTTCAAAACGTAACAATTGAATTTATTAAGTATTTGATATACATGCATGAATACTGAGTGAAAAGGTTAGACAGAGTTTTGTCTCTTAGATTTGGTAATATTTGTACCTAAGCTCATAAAGTAGAAGTTGATTATTAAACTGTAGAAGAATGAGTTTGGAATTGCGTATTGTACAAGTTGGTAAAAGTTCAGAAGAGATTTCAGAGTTCGTACTTGCGTGAATGTTGATAATGGTCTTCAACGTCTGACTGCAAAGGTTAAGACGGGAGTTCTTGAAGATTACATCTTGGTAGCAAGCAATGAGACGAGAGAGAGAGAGAGAGAGAGGGTTTACACGTGTTTTGTTTTTATAATTTTGTTTTACCACGTGGGTGGCTCAGAACAAAAACGCGGGAAAACAGATTTGTCGCGTGCAGGCGGTTTGATTGGTCGGAACTGACCAATCAGCAAGCTAGATTGAAGGTGATTAACCAATGAATGCTTGTTATATATTTTGTAAGATGGTGATGGTGAAAGTCACACAGGAATAGTGCATTTCCTAGTAGGGGTTAACTGGCTGCTGTGGAAGATTACACATACACATTACGTTCTAAGCAAATGGCTAAATTGTCGTTTCTGTCACCAGTTTATTTTTCATACAAACTGTTCATTCCGATCGAAAAACTATTCAATCAAACCTTATTCGAACCATATGAACATTAACTTCCAATATTACGATCAATCATCCATACAACACTCATATTCATATTGTATATATTTTGTATATAAATAAGTTGGAAATGTTCTTATTATATTGTCTAGACGTCACTATTTCATCTTGTTTCATGTTATGTTGATATATGTTTTTTGCATTAAAAATGTTTTGTGGAATATTAAACACAGCCAAAGCCCAGGCCGTATAACTAAAACCTCATTCAATTAACTAATCTTTCTAACAATATTCCGACGTTCCACAACAATACTACCCAGCCAAGGAAGGCGGAGATACACAGGACATCTCGCTACTATAGCAGGTTACACTTTGTTAAATTCAGCAACTTTGTTCTTAATAATTGCTTGTACAATGCCCAATGGGCAGGCATTGTTGCAGAGAGTAGAAGTAATAAACCTGGGTTCATCATCCAATTTGATGTCTGAACAGATCATGAGAGTCCTATGCGTAAGGGTCTTAATTAAATTAATTTTACGTTTCCTGGGACAAAAAGAATCCCAACGGATATACAAACCAGTAAACGTCGGTTTACGGTACACAGAAGTAATAAAACCTTACGAAGATCTGCTGACGAGTACATCGAGTAAGGGAAGAGATGAATCAACCTCCTTTTCCTGTGTAAATTTCAAGGCCGGATGTATATTGTTAAGTGACGCAAGAAATTGGTCGGCTTTAATCTTGTTATCGAAGAGGCAAAAACTGTCATCAAAGGGGAACCCATCGAAAACACCATCAGTCTGCCTGTACACGATGCCGTCGAAACTGAACTCAACTGACATCGTGGCAAATTTCATCAGTTCAACAAACACGTCTTCCGGAATAACAGGCGGAGACAATTGACTACGATATAGGGCGTCAGCACATATATCGATAGTCTCAGAAAGTGGAACGAAAGTAAATAAACTGGCAATATCATATGAACACATAAATTTATCCGTAGGCGAATAACACTGCATAAAACGGGAAAATTCAAATGAATCTTTAATACAAGCTATATACTGCTCCAAAACCGGTTGCAGTATAGTGGAAAGACATTTAGCCACATCGTGTTGAGAAGACCCAGTCATAGATAGAATAGGTCTCAATGGTGTACCAACTTTAAAATTAGTTTTGTTATTATCACTCATGATAATAAAAAGTAAAAATGAAAAACAGGCTAGCTAACCGGTTGTACGATGTACGAAACCGGTTAGCTAGCCCGTTTTTCATTTTAACTTTATTCTAATCATAATGTGTGTATGTTAAGAGACTTGTGTTACAGAAGCTGCCTTTTAGGAAATATTAAAAATAGAAATTACTATGACAAGACACGAGTATTAAGAATGACAAAATGTGGGCTCGTCCTAAACTTTAATGTTTATTTCAAAACAAAAACAGCACAAGTCATGTGCCTTAACTAAAACAAAGAATTGTCTCATTCGATGTTCATTTCACAACAACAACAGCAAAGAAACTAATTCATTTTTTCTTCAGATATTTCCTTTGATAAAAAAACTGACTTTGTGTTTGTTTCAAAATCTCATTTTCTGTTGAAGAGTTTCTTTCTTCATCCTAATTGATTATTGCTGCATATTTTTATTTAAATATTAATGCAAATATCAAAAATCAGAAGTAACATTAGACCTACTGTAGTACTATTAATAGCAATGACATGATTATTGGATATATTGTATATGCAGCCAGGTATAGGGCTATGCTATAGATATATTAATGTTATGGTAATTTACCCATGCGTGCAAGGACTCTCCCAAATATAAATAGGAGCAGGTTCTGCCTTTTGAACAGGGAAGTTTCCAGCAGTCAGCTCTGACAGTCAGACCGAACATTCTTGCTGTCACACTCTCATTTGTATATTTTTGTATTACTGCTTCTGTTAATACATTTGTTTAACTCAGTTCCTCTCTTGTGTCTTTATTTCTGGTCCTAACAAGGCCACAACAATTAATGACTGAACCAGAGATTCAATCACATCATTAAACACTTTTATTAGTGATTTAAGATTATGAATTTATGATGCAGTACTAATTACCAGGTATTGATAGTTTGTGTATATATGAATGGATAAGCTTTTTAATTGTGCAGCTTGAGAAAAGTGTTGAATGTAGTCTTATAGGCCTATATATGGGCGTGTGGCCGAGTGGTTAGAACGTTCGCTTTCTGACCATGAGACACGGGTTCGAATCTCACCACAGTATCCTTCCTGAAAACCATACCACGAGTTGGGTAGACGGAACACTTGGGGACTGTCGATAGCTGTACTAGCACGATGTCACGAGGGTTTGAGTGTGCTGTCCTTGTTCAGACTGTTGATCACGCTTGATAACACACACTCTCCCAGAAACTATAACTAAGGTCTGCTCAGCATAGTTGCAGTATAAACCACTGGTGGACTCTCTGGGCGTTGAATAAACACAAATGTACCTGAGTAAGCGTCTGCAATAGGGATTGGCTAACTGCCTTAGTAGACAGGATTCCTCGAATACGGGTGGCCAGCTATTATTATTAGATCTACAGTGGGGTTGAATAAGTGATCGTACAGCAAACAAATGCTTGTTATTCTCACTTATAGCGAACTAGCAGCATGGCCCGGCGTTGCCCGTGCTTGATTCCAAAATCGTACGACTCATACAGCAATCGCTATCACTTGACTTAAAATATTTTTGCCCATCCCTGCCTCTAAAGGAGTGCCCTTTGCCGTGCTGATGTTGCTTACTTCTTGCCTATGTCACACTGCGAATTTTTCTAAGCTCTATACTAAACATTAAATCTGTTACGAAAAAAGAACTAAACAAAATGAACACAAAACAATCAGCTTTAAAAAAGGACTCGTAACTGGAAGAACCGAATGAAAAAAGAATGTTAGCAAACAAATACTTTTTCACACCCAACCCAGTTCTGCGGAATCAGAATCAACGTTGAGTTTAAGCAAGCGAATGTGCCAATTGGAGTAAAGTGCCATGCAGATTTAAATTTTTCCCACTTGTGACGAATGCAGCTATCGATTTTTTTTTTTGCATGCTATCATGCTAGTTAACATTCGTGTCAGTCAGCTGTTGGCTCTCACGCGGGCAAATAGAATCTTGCCTATTCGTGTCAGCCAGCTATAGGCTCTCACTCTGGCCAGTAGAAAATGGCCGCAAACTACATGAAAACTGCCGTAGAAGCATGAAAAAATCGATTATTTCCACTATCGATGGGAGTTGGGAAATGTAAAGTCGGTCTTGGCCTTCTTGATAACTTGGAGCATGTGCATGTAAATTTTGGTGAAAATCCGTCGAAAATTGCGGCCGTGCTTTCGTTACACACACACACACACACACACACACACATCCTGCCTTTTATAGAGATGAAAACCTCGAATAACGTTATATGTTTATTTTGGGACATAGAATCAGAATCTGCAATTTAAAATTAGAAATTCATCGATAAGTGATAGTTATGGAAATTTTTATATTTTGAATAGTGGAAAAAGTGTTCGTATAGTATCAATTTTTGCATTATAATACGGTAGATTTGGGTTGTACTTCAAAGTAGAAGATTCTAAACTATTCTATAATATTTTTAGTAACTCTATTGCAACATTCAGTTCAAAATTGGATCATTCTGCAGTCACTGTTTACTGATAACGGTTCTAATAATGGCTAAACGTAAGGAAATGACTTGTGCTCAAAAAGAGCTAATTATTAAGCTATGGAACAATGGAAAAAGTTACAGAAACGTCTCCAGTGACACGAACATACCTTTTTCAACAATTGGTTCATTTATTGCAAGATTTAAAAGACGTAATACTGTTGAGAACAAAGGCAGACCCGGTGCTCCCAGGAAGATCCCTACAGATTACGAAGAAAGTTGATGCTATAGGTCGAAAATAGCCATCAGACAAGACCTTCAGAATGATCTGAGTTTGTCAAGAGTTAACATAACTAAGCAAACAATTAGTTATGAACTACGCAGAGACGGTATAAAGTCGTGTTGCAGCGGGCCGAGAGGTGTGAGTGCCAATCGAGCGTACAACTAAAAAGGGGACACAAAGGCAAGCAGATGGCAATAGTAGACGATGGAAATCGTGTCTTTATTAGCGAACGGTGGATGGTAAGAAGACAGAGGTCGTTTGTTCGGGCGCTGGACGTCAGTGGGCACTGGATTAGGTCGACAGCAGGTGCTGGAATAGGTAGCGGAACGTCAGTAGAGCGCCGCTAGAAGCTGTTGGGGTGAGCTGGAAACTGCAGGAGTGAGCTGGAAGCGGTAGGAGTGAGCTGGAGACTGCTGGAAGCTGCAGGAGTGCTGCAGGAGTGAGCTGGAAGTTGCAGGAGTGCTGGAAGGTGCAGGAGTGAGCTGGAAGCTGCAGAAGTGAGCTGGCGTCACAGAGGGAAGGCAGTAGCGAGGAGTGAAGTGAGTGGAGCCTTGAAGAGTGGTGATCGAATGACTTTCGGAAGTTAGCCCTGAAAAGGACTGTTTGAACAACTGCTGCTACTGCTGCTGAGTCCCGTCAGCTGCTGGGCTTGGTCGACTTGACTGGGCGCGTCAAAGTCGCGAATCAGGGAGGCTTCCTGCTCCCCCAGGCCGGCCAAAAAACCGCTGCGAAGTCTCGGGGATCTAGATATGACGTTTCATACAAGAGAAAGCGGTGACGCTAAACAAGTAAATGAATATAATTAATTTCGGGCCGTATTAATTACAGTCAAAAGTGTGTTCGGTGTTTGTTGACTGTATTTAAATTAATTTCGGTTCGAAATTAAAGGTCTTTTATTTTTGTTCAGTGGCGAAAATTGAGTTTTGTGTGTTTCTGTCAGTTTGAAAGGGTGTCGTTGCTATTTTTAGCACACAAGGGCCGTGACCTTTCTCTACCGGCAGGCATAGCCGGGGTTGTTTAAGAAACGGTGGGAGTGGTGTTTGGGCACACTGCGACAGTCGTGCTCCCCAAGAAAGACACCACTTCTTTTGAAACGGCATAGAGATGCTACATTGGACAGATGAGAGTAAAATTGAGTTGTAACCCTAACCCTATTCCCTGAATCATGTATGGAAGAAAGACGGCGAAGCATACGCACCCAAGAACACCATACCAACTGTCAAATCTGGTGGGGGTAGTATCATGGTTTGGGGATGCTTTTCGGTGCTGAGTGTTAGCAAACTAGCAATAATAGATAGTAGAATGAATGCAGAAAAATATTGACAAATCCTAAGCGAAAATTTATCGCTTACTGTAGAGATTCTTGGGCTTCCTCCTGATTAGATCTTCCAGCAGGACAATGATCTCAAGCATACTGCTAAGAGTACGAAGAATTGGCTTGCTAATAACAATGTTAACATCTTACAATGGCCCAGTCAGTCACCAGATTTGAATCCAATAGAAAATTCATGGCGGTTTTTGAAAAATAAGATCCGTTATAGAGGCCCAACAAACATCAAAAACCTGAAGACAATTACTCAGGAAGAATGGAACAAAATATCTACTAAAGTATGCGGAATCGTTAATTAAAGACTACAGGAAGAGATTGGTTGCTTTTTAACTTAATAAAGGCTTTGCTACAAAATATTAAATGGAGAAAACTGCTGTACGATCATTTCTTAAACCCCTAAAAATTTAAATATTGCTATATTTTCTTAACCATGGAATATTGTTTAGTTTTATATGCATACATTTTTAGTATGCAATCTGATACAGTAGATATATTCCCGTTTTGTTAATTTAATATGTTACAAATAAAAATATGAAATATTTTCATGTGTACAATCACTTATTCAACCCCACTGTATATTTATATGAAGCTAGATCTGTGCTAGACACCCTAGCTATGTCACTAAGATAGATCTAGGTCTTGTCCAGCATTTTTGTCAATCAGCACAATAGAGAGTTTGTATTAAGAATGAATACTGTTCGTATAATTAAAAGAAGGACATGTTCTTTATGGAAACAGAATGTTTAAATATTAAAGTTTTGTTGCAAGCTCACTTATATAACGCGACCCTTCATCCTGGTGTGGGACTAATTACTAAATATTTAAGATATATTTTCCAGGGGAATAACCCTTTCAGCAAAAATGAGATGTAATGTTTTGAGTGGAGTACAGTGGAAGAGAGTTGCAGAGGAGAAGGTGAAAATAGAAAAACTTCCAAAATTAACATTGTGTCTCAATACAGATGCAACGAGAGTCACTCAGAACATTCCTTCAGTTATAGCATCCGCATCTACACTCATTCCTGCTACCAATCATTTAGTTTCAACAGTCATACCATTGTTGCCTGTTACTGCTGCAACTGCTGGTGACATTTTACAAAAGGAAATACCAAAATTTGTAACAGTAAAGGAGTTTGCAAACCAAGAGACAGATTCGAGGCTATGGAGCATTAATGATACTAATATAATAGATTACTGGATTCGTAGTGGGCCCTCATCATGACTGAATCATAACCTTTCAAACTCATGCGGATTGTATAAACCAGCGAGAGTAGAAAATATTAAGGCAAGGTACTTATCAATGTGTTCAACCATAAACTGCAGAATGACGAGTGTGTAAAACCTGAATGGCTACTCTATTCACCATCCAAGAATCGTTTGTACAGCTTTGTATATGGCCTATAGTTCAAGAAAGATTCTCCTTTTGCTACATCAGGGTTCAATGACTGGAAGCGCATCAATGTTATTGTAGAACATAAAAATAGAGAAGAATATCAAAAGTTCATGACAGCATATTTAATAAAGTATAAAGAAACAGGAAGTGTAGATTCTTTATTACTTGAGCAACACCGCTCACAACATGAATATTGGTTTGTGGTTTCTGTAATTTGTGTTCTTGTCTCCAGAATGTTTGCCATGTCGTGGAGAAAATCAGATTATTGTCAGCAAGAAATGGCAACTATTTAGGTATACTAGAACTGCTGAGTGAATTTGACCCTTTCTTGGAAGAAGATCTTAAAATGTATGGAAATCCTGGAAAAGGGAATCTGTCATATTTATCTGCAAATATTTGTGAAGAATTTATTGAATTAATGTAACAAGAGGTTCTTTGTACTATTCTTGAAGAAGTAAAAGAGTCAAAGTATTATTCAATAAGTGTAGATTCCACTTCAGATCAACTGACATTTATTATCCGATACATTAAAGGCTGTCGAAATTTTCTTGATGTTCATCCCCATTTTTCTCATGGGGCAAAGGGTCACTTTTATGGATTTTCTTAATGAGAACAAAATTCCACTATCAAACTGCCATGGTCAGTCATACGATAGTGCCTCAAATATGTTGGGACAATATACTGGATAATACACATGGATTCATTGATTCAATGCGTTTGCCATCTATGTCAACTATAATGGACACAGCTTAAATTTGGTGGGAGTGAAAGTAACAGAGTGTTGTCTGCAGACTGTAAAGTTCTTTGACTTTGTGCAGCATCTGTTTTCGTTTTTTTTTTCTGGTTCTACTCATCACTGGAATGTATTGGCATCATCCTTAGGAAAAATTTTTGTGGTCAAGTGTCTGTCTGATGGTCAGCACATTTTGATGCTGTTCATGCTCTGTATGGGGGTTTCGAGAAAATAAAACATGCACTTGATTATTTATCAGCTGACAATGAACAGAAAGTGAATACAAGGCAAGAGGCAGAAGGATTGAGCAAAAAAAAAAAGGAAAACCTGGAAACAAACTTTCCAAATCCTTTGGAATGACATTCTAGAAAGAATGAACAAAATAAGCAATGTCCTTCAATCAAAGGATGTGAACATATTTGTTGAATCTTCTTGAGTCTATGAAAACATATTTTCAGGAAACTAGAGACAAATTTAGTGAATATGAATTCAAAGCGAGGCATGTGTCCAGATACAAATTACAGTGATGGGAAAAATGGGAAGAAAAACGAAGCGTGCATCTTAATAAATGTCTTGGAACAGCAGAAAAGGTGCTTCTCAGAAAAACCGAAAAGTTCAAGGTGGAAAATTTCCTCCTTATTCTGGACTCTTTAATCTTTGATCTGACAAAATGTGCATAGGCTTATTCACAGATTAGAAATCTGTTTTCTTTCTTCAGTGAACAGAAAACCATTGCTTCTGATGCACTAAAGAAAAAGTATGAATAATTGACTAATATTTATCACAAAGATCCGAATTATGATGACATTTGAAATGAATGTGAGCATTTCAAAAGCTACATGGCTCTTGATGAAAATTATGAGAATCTCCCTGCACTGTACAGAAAAAAATAATTTTGGACAATTTGAAATCTGTATTCGTGAATGATGAAATTGCATTCAGAGTGTTCATGTCCATAATTATAACGAATGCAGAACTTTTTTTTTCAAGACTGAAACTTTAAAAAAAAAATCTGTATTGTAGCACAGTGGAGCAGCATCGTTTGAACTGGCTTTCACTCAAATGCATAAAACATGACATCCTATTCCTGAAGATCATTGACAAAGCCAATAATAAAGAAATTCTCTGAAAATAAATACCACAAATGATTGTTATAAGTTTGTTGTAATTTTATACTGTGTCATCTAATCTGTGTGGCTTACTGAGTATTATTGTGTTTTTTTATAGTCCAATAATCATGGGACAGACAGAGGGAAAGAGGGACAGAGAAAAGCAATGCGTGACATACTTGATGAGCTTGAGCAAATGGATGGCAGAAAAAAGGTTTGAGAGAAATAACAAAAAGACAAAATTTATACTACAAGGGATAGAAGATGTGGAGGGTAATGAATCACCTATGTCCTGAAGGGACACGACACATAAAAGTAGAAGAATGTCAGTGAAGTTCCAAAAATGATGTCTGAAGGTGTGCAGTGTAATTCTTCTTTCAGAGTATTTCCAATTGATAGGAGGGTAATAGGTTGATTTATCTACCCAGTTATAAGAGTCAGTCACTGTGGATAGTGTAGTTTTTAGATATCTGGGGAATATTTCCACAATCCCGTTGTCTCTGTGGTGGTATTTGGAATAGGAAAAGCAGCAGGCCATCAACTAAAACGATCCACAATGGTAAGCATATAGGTGAAACCATGCATATTGGGGAAGGGTCCAACAATATCGATATGCAAATGTATGAATCTAGTCATGTCTCTGGACGTTACCAATGGACGATTTTGTATGTTTTCCAATTTTGTGTTTTTGCCACTGGATGCATTACTAAGTCAATTTTTTTTTCAGTGGAAATATTCGGCCATACAAATTGATCTGTTATCACTTTGGTGGTTGCTCATCTGTCATGATGTGATAAACCATGAAAGCAATTGAAAATTTTCTTACGTAACGATGGAGGTATATATGTAACCTTTTTTTTTCTCATGTCACATAAGAAAGTTGAATGTCTGAAAGGGATTGGTAAACTTTTAAGTTGAAGTGAAGTTGTCGGAGTTAGCTCCTCCTTAAATTCCTAATTGTCACTAGAAGTCGCTCTCCCTACACTATAAATACCGGGCGACTTCTTGCCTCATTCTCTTTTTCACTTTGCATTCCAGCGGACACATTTAAAAATGTGATCTCTCATAGAAATCCGCGTTTTTGGCCACTTGTGGAAAAACGCCATGAAACACACATACACTTACGTACGAACTTTCACCAACATACAAACTCTTTACGTTCACACACAAACACAAACG